GATCGACACCGACCCTGAGAACATCCATCTCACGACCGCGGAGAGAGCTGCCGATGCAGGAATGCGGCGCCGATTGCCCTGCGATGCCCGGCGCGCCGATCTGGCCAGGGGGCGAGCGACCGAAGGCGCGCGTGGATTAACGGAAGAGCGCCTCGTGGGAATGATGTCCCAGCGCGACGCCCGCGCTTCTGCGTCAGCAGGAGCGGCTCCTCGAGACTGGCGACCTCGGCGGCCCGCCGTATCTGCTGAGCCAACTGTGGCGCTGTCAACGGGAGCACCTCGGGCTGATTGCCTAGATGCTGGTTTGGCGCCGCCTCGGGCATGACTGCCGGCTGCCAATGCTCGGCCGGCCGCGGGCGGGCGGCCGGCCGCGGGCGGGCAGCCCGCGGCCGCTGCGCCAGCGCCGCGACGGGGGCGCGGGCGTCGACGCGGGCGCCCTTCTTCGCGCGACGCCTGCGCGCGCGATTCCCGCGCGCGCCGGCGGGGCCGCTGGCGGGGTTGCCGCGCAAGGCCAGGCTCGCCCTCAGCGCCTGTGAAGCACCCGTGCGACGCGCGCAATTTATGTCGCCTATAGACACGGTCAGGGCGCCAATGCGTTCACAGGCGCAATTTTGGCGACATGATGCGGCGATATCATCCCGTTTATCGGTGAGATCGATGCGTCGGGATGCAACGCGACAGGATGCGGCGATTGGCGGCGGGAGACCCCGTTCATCGTTGAGACCATGGCCTCTCGTCTGATCGACCAGGCTACGCGATGGAGCGCGCCGCGCATCATCCTGAGCCTTACACGGAGCAGAGACGCTTCTGTGGCTCGACCGTTGGGGCATCGAGATGAAGGCCAAGGACGAGGGATCGCCCGCGCTGCTTGTGGAGAGACATCGCGACATTTCCAGCATGCTCATTCAGGGGGCTCGGAAGCAGCTCCACGAGGTGGGCGCGGAAATACCATTCGGGGTCGTCATTGCCGAGTCAGGAGTGTTGCTGGCTTCAGTTCCTGCCGGGCAGTCTACGGAAGGGTATTTCCAGTGCTCGCAGAGTTCGAGGCGGTGAGTGACTTCCAGCTGGGCGACGCCCTTGCAGAAATCCCGAGTATCTCCCGATGCCGTTTCCGCCTGCGCGAGGTGGCCACGCAGTCGGTGATCGAGATGACGGCGCAGGACGGGCTGAAGCGAGCTATGCGATCCAAGACGCAACAACCATCCGAATGTTACGAGGCTCAACGCTGGCGGCCATGTGGACTGGCAAGGACTTGTGGCCGTGGTGCAAGTGGGGCCGCCGGTGCTGATGAAGTGGCTGAGCCGTGTCTCGCAGCGTCGGTCTCAGGACCTGCGACGAGGTCCGGCATGCGCAAGGATGCTCTCGACGAGCATATTTCTCGCAGGGCTTCACCGACCCCGCGTGCGCGGTCATGCGTTCCGCCGACCACCTAGGGCGCAGCAGCGTTCGGGGTTGGACGGTCGACAGCAATTCGATGCGAGGGCAGGCTCGAGAAGATTGGTGGAGTTCAGCGCGCGACTTCTAATTGGGCGGGCGCGTCGGGGGCCGGCCGCGGCGCGCCGATTTTGGAAGACGTGGTCGGGTATGACCACGGCGCCCTTTTGTGGCGGGCGCGCGAACAGCCCCAGCTGTCGAGCTACATCGGGGCGGTAGGCTGGGCGCAGCTCCGACTGGCCGAGATCTTCGGGCGAAGTCAGCGGGGCAAGGTCCGTCTCGCGCAGTCCATTTTGACCGACCCCGAGGCCGTGCAACCACTCTGCGAAGACAGGAACCCGACGTGCCGCATCTGGGTGAACCAAGGCTCGGGCGCCTACCTGCCTAAGGCGCAACGTTGCGAGGTGCCGGAGCTGCCGGCTCCATGACCGCGCCAGGGGCGTCAGGAGAGGGCGGGGGGGCGGGGGGGAAAGACGCCAGACAGCGGCGCGCCCAGCGCGCCAAGCAACGGGGGCAGGAGGAGTCAGTCGCGGGCAGCTGGTCCGGGCAAAGGGATTATTCGGCAAAGAGCCCCCGCGATGACGTAGCGACAGATATCGACGAGGAAGGCTGCCAGTCCAGCGCCGCCGCCACTGGCGCCGCCCCGGGCGCTGCCCATTCCCGCGGAGCAGAGACACGCTCCGCATCATATATATATATATACAGAGAGAGATAGAGAGAGAGAGAGAGAGAGAGAGAGAGAGAGGGAGACAGAAAGAGAGGGAGAGAGAGAGAGAGAGAGAGAAATAATGAAACATGAATGAAGACAGAGAGGCGAGGGAGAGGTATAACAACAACAAATCATCGAGATCGCGATCGCGCTTAAGGAGCGAGGGCTGCGACTGGCCCGACAACCGCAGCACCTGCAGCGGCGCCGACGCTGGCGCTCGTGGCATCATCAACCTTAACATTTTCATCCTCGGCTTTAGCTTCCTGTTCAGCAGCCCATATGCGGGAGTTTCACGAACTACCCGCTATTCCTGACGACGACAGCGACGGTACGGATGAGTGTCCAGCATATCTTGGCGCTAAATTTCTGAGCGCACGAGCGACTCTGCCGTCCTTGGATTTAGAGCGCGCTCAGAAGGATTACTTCTTCGCGTTCCCAGGCGCGGTCCACGCTTCGCACGCGCCGTCCGACGCCCCGGCAGCGACGGCGGACGACAACGTGGAGATCGCCGTCGGAGCCCCGTTTTGGAAGTGGGTTTCTCCAGTGCTTGAGTTTGTCAGTCGGCCGCGACTCGACGCGATCTGCGCGGGCAGGATCAACGCGCCGGGCAAGCGGCTTGCGGCCGAGCGCGAGATGAACGTCTGGGCGCTGGGCGAGTCACGAGAGCGCGAGATCGACGCGGCAGTGGCCACGACAGTCGAATCCCAGCACTGCGTCAGTTTTGGAGGCCTCATGCGCGGCCATGAAGATCAGGCTAGTAACAGCACTGTCTCGCGCTGCGTGCTCAAGTGGAAGCTGGCCAACGGCGCGCGCCAGATTAACGGGGCAGATGGTCCAATATCTGCAGGGCAAGCAGGGTTCGGACCTCTCCGCGTGAACCGGCGCTACGGGCAAGGGGGTGGCAAAGCGTTGTCAACGCTGTCGTGGCCTGGCGTAAGCGGTGGCTTCCCCCGGAAAAAATCGGAAAGTGTTTCCCGCGAAGGTTGACCTGCGAGCAAGTGGCCGCGATTGATGCCGAAGTCGTCAGGCAAGGGCAGTTTTCATGGCGCCTGGCTCGATTTCACTTCGTGAGCACCATGAGGACATCCATCCGTTGGTGGAGGTACTTTCCGCTTTGCGGCGTGGATCTGGATGGACAGACGCGCGGCGGCTGTGGCAGATAATGCTGAAGTGTTCTTGAAGACGGGCGCCAGACCACTGCCCAGTGACCTGCAGTGATCTGTGTATCGCGGTGGCATTGGATAGCTTCAACTCATTCTGTTGGCATGCGTCGACGATCTCATGGGCGGCGGCAGCGAGACGCCGTGCGAGAGGGCATCGGCGGCGCTCGAGCGCGAGTTTGGCAAGCTCAAGCATTCGCGCGACAAGTTCGAGCGCGTGGGTGCGATGCGCGAGCAGGACCCCGAGACGTTTGGTAGCTGGACGCACCGGCACCGCTATGCGCAGAAACTTCGGCTTCTGAGACAGAACATGTACGCGATGGCGCAGGGCGAGGAGACGTGCAGCACATAAACGCATGCGGTATGTATGTCGCTGCTGGGTGGGACGGCATGGCTTACGCAGGCGATGCCACCGATCGCTATCTACATCTCCTACTATTGTGTCTAGCGAAACGTCCCGTGGCCCTGGGTGTCAAGAAGATAAGCGACTATTTGCCTCCATCGAGGCGAGCCCCGCGAATCTGGGCAGTCTTCGGCTCGCGGCGCTGAACCCGCTCGCGCTCGAGACGCGGTTGGCAGTTGTCCTCCGTTACAGCCTGCCAGGCCCAGGAGATCGACGGACTGGCAATGCGAGGTTGCCTTGCCATGCTGATAGACATCGACTCGGATGCGCTAGTGACCGGCCAGTTTTTTTGGTTGGTGGATTTCTCAAGTTCTCCGCCGCCTCTTGCGGTGCGAGTGGCGAGCAGGGGTTTTGCTGTGTTCCTGCTCGTTAACATGTGTCACGTGTGCGGAGCTACACCATCAATCCAGTGTTGCAAGGTGGTGGTGTTCGACTGGTGCAGCAAGGCGCAGGCGCAAGTTTCGCGCTCCACGTGTGTGGTGGCACTTCGCGCGCAAGTGGCCGCTCCGAGCGCTGGCTTTCGCGGAGGTGACGCGCGGGGCTACAACGCCGAGGTGCATGGCATACATTCAGGAGGCACGCCCGTTTGTTCTCGAGACGGACAGTCATGCGGACGCGAGAGGAGTATTCGACGCAGTCGAAGCGGACGCATTGAGCGTGAGCCACGGCCAGGGGATGTGTTTACATGCTACCGCGACCAGAGATCTGCTGCACAACGGACAGTTGCAGCGACTGTAATGGCTGGACACCGTGGACATGGTTGGAGACGGCTTGACGACAGTCGACAGTGGCGATCGACAGGGGGACGCTCATCTAGCTGGGCCTGGCGAGCGAGTTGCCGTTCTCCGGGGCCCAGGTCGTCGGGTACACGGGCGTGCAGACGAACGGCTGGACGGGTTGCTAGGCCTGTCTGTCTGCGTCTGGCTGTCAGACCGCAGCCCCGACGGGGCCGCCGACGGGCGCCCCGCCGATTTGCATTCACAGCCGGCTGTGGAGGCGCGGAGCGCTTGCTTGCCGCCCCGCCCCGACGGAAACGGTGCACGGGGGAAGCCAGAGGGTAGCAGAACGTGTTCTGCATCCGTTTTGGCTCAAGCCTTCTCGGAGCTGCCACTGATTTGCTACATTGATGCTTGTCCAGCAGGTAGTCAGAGTGCACAGCGTGCGATCATGATCAGGTTTCGGCTGTTTTGTTTCCTTTCTGGGTACCCTGGCGTCACATGCTGTCAACCATGCTTTGACCCTCCGTGCCTCTCTCCTGCTCCCTCTCCCTCCACCCCCCGCCCGGCGCCCCGAGGAAAATCATGGGGATTACCCAGGACATTGCTGGCCGTGCCACGCCGTTCCCCTTCTGATGCCTCCCGCCCCTTCCGCGCTGCGACTTCCCCTCGCCCATCCGCCGTCGTCGAGGATCGAGGCTCCAGGTTCGACGGTGCGTGTTCCTGGACGTTGGCGCTTTTTTGAATCTCCAGGGGCTTCCGAAGGCCTCCAGTCAAGGGAGGAAAACCACCCGGACCAGACAATTGGCGTTTACTGAACGGCCCTGGGCGTTTACTAAAAAAGCCTTGCCCTGTTCGATTCCTTCCTTGGGCGCGTTTGCTAAACGAATTCGCGTGTCGGGGTGGTTATCATGGGGTTGGATTTTTTGACTTCTATCCGGAGACCTCGGGGCGCCGTCGTTGGCACCTGTCGCGCACGCCGGGCGGGGAATGTTAAACGGTCGTCCTAGTCTCAGAGGCGACGATACGGGCAAATAGCCCAGGGAAGAGCAATACATGTATTCAGGTGCGCCGATAATCTATGTCTTCGAAAGGGCTCCCGGGCGAATGCGTGTAATGCTCGCCCCTGGGCTATTCGCCCTTATCGCCGCCGATAGTACGTCGTCCGTCGCCACCGCGGTCGTGGTCGTCCGTCGTCGTCGTCGTCGTCGTCGTGGTCCTCCTCCTGGTCTGCTGCCCGCGCTTCTTTCATTGGCCGAGCCGCGCCCTGTGTTGTCCGGCGGCGAGCAGAGGGCGACCAGGATCACGTCATTGCCCAGGACGTGTTTATATATAAAACATGCTATGGAGTTTTCGGAATCTCAGGGACGGCCATCGGCACGGTTGGGTCCGCCCCGAAGACCTGGTCGGAACGGGCTTCAGGACATGTCCGCGTGCTGATTTCGGCCGACCGATTTGGTTTGGGACTGTAATGGCTTCTGGCCGGTGCCGCCGATCCGTGGGGCTCTGGATTCGGTGATCTTGGAGTCGTCGGGGACGCTGATTGGGAGGGACGGCGCTCTTGGAGTCGTCGGGGACGCTTTTTGGAGCTGACGTGCCCTCCGTGGGGATGCCTGGAGCGGTCCCGGGGGAGGGTCCGGGGAGGGTTCGAGAGGGGAGGGTCCTGGGGGCGGTAGCGGCTAGATCTGAGGGGGGTCCCGGGGACTCCCCGAAACATTTTGGGGATGCGCAAATGCCAGATGGGGGACCGCCCCCCCCCCTTCCGGGGAGGGTTCCGAGGGGATGGTTTGGGATTTTTCTGCGGTCTTTTTGTGTTCATGGAGTTTTCGAGTTTTGGCGGGGGTCCGTCAGCTGTGCCATTTTGGGGGGGCTCTGGGGACACAAGAAAGCGGTCACCTCCAGACCGCTTGGTCGGCCCAGAAGCCAGTCAAGGCGCATGGTGCGCTGGGGAGCTCGTCCCCGCCACCTCCCCCCCTCTGACAGGATTGTGGACCCCAGGGGAGGGGGAAAGGATGAGGGAGACAGGTGAATGTCTCACACGCCTTGCCACCCCCAGCACGCGTGGGTCGGCGGGCTTGATTGGGAACCTTGCAGTCCTCCTGAGGTGCCCCGAGCTCCCAGCAGCTGATGCACGAATGCAGGAAGAGCGAGACCGCGAGCGCAAGCGGCGTGCCAAGTAGCAGGGATCGACGCACGTCCTCGCGACCGGCTCTGCTATTGCAGCACAGGGCAAGTGGGTGGGCCACGTCCCAAAACGACGTGCCTGAAATGCGGCAGCCAATCTCTCTCTCTCTCTCTCTCACACCATAATTTTAATAATAGTTTGAGGCAGCCCATGAGCACCCTGGCAACAAGCAAAAACAATACATACATGGCGAATGTGCTTACAGCTCGTCGTGCAGGCCTCCCGTGGCCCACGCCCAGCTGCAGCCTCGGACCCCTCCGCTCGCCGCCGAGCTCTGGGCCTGCTGGAGCCTGGGCCACTCCGAGTGGCGGCAGGCAGCGGCAGCGCCGTCGTAGGTGTACGGTTTTTGCCCCTCCTGGAGTCGGCGACTGCAGAAGGGTGCGGTCACGCCCGGGTGTGGTTTACGATCTGCGTCGGCTGGGTCGGGGAAGCGTAAGACTCGAGTAAGCCGGAACTCGGACTCGTCGACGTTTTTGGGGCCTCGTCATTCTTATGATGGCCCCGTCAGGCCAACCCAAGTCCCCCGTACTCGAGTCGTACGTCTCTCCGATGGGGGCTTGGGGGGCACCACGCTGCCCTCGTTGGGCCTCCTCTGGGCGCGGCGGAGAGCTCTGGTGAGGTCCTCGGCCGTACCCTGGGGCGCGGGCTTCAAGCCACACCCTGTGCAAGCCACACCAGCCTGGAACATATCCCTATCCCTATGCTGGGCACCTCCTCATCACGATGCCAATCTGAGGGATTCCCTTATTTTTTTGAGGGCGAATCCCTGAGATTGTCATCGCCTTTTGGCGTGTCAATCTTAGGGATAGGGATACGTTCGAGGCTGGTAAACATCCCTTGGAGTCGCCGATGGAGCTCCCAGGACGGTGCTGGGTAGGTCTGCCCCCGCAGGGCAGCTGTGCGTCTCTCGAGCTTACTGGCAGATCGGGCAGCGCCAGGGGGAGTCATCACCGGGGAGGGCACCACCTCCTCCTGGGAAGCGGGGCTCTGGGGTCGGGGCACGAGGAGGCTTCTGGCCGTTTGGGGTCGCTGTGGATTGATGTGGAGTGCTGCTGGGGGCACACTGTCTCAAGAAAGTAGCTGTTCCTCGAGGAAGTGGCGACGCCCCTAGTTAGTGGTAACCCCCTTGGCATTGCCCCCCCCCCGAATGGCAGCTGTGTGTCTGTTAAGCTTGCCGGTAGAGATGCGATCGGAGAAGGGTGAGATTGTGAGGGATGGTGAGGGGCGGGGAGTTGGGGTGACGGGTAAGTTGGAGTACATAAAGAAAAACGCATACACGTGAACGTTCGGAGCTCCGCGCGGATTTCTTGGGTCCGCGCGGGGACCTCCTGTTGGCGCCTCCAGCGCCACCCCTGGGGTCTCCGCGCCGATCCAAGAGATCCGCGTGGACCTCCAAAAGTTGATATGTTTCTGCGGTTGCTCGTTCCTCTAGGCCAGGGTCGGGGAGTTGGGGTGACGGCGAAGTGGGATGGGGGATCGTGAGGGGAGTTCTGTCCAGACGGGCGGCCCCCGCAGCGACGGAAGTTTGGCAGTCGTGCCTCGCGTCCGCAGCTCCCCTCCAGCGGCGTGCCATGGGCATAGCTTGCATCAGTTCGGACCAGCCGAGTACAGTCAACCCGCCTGGTAAGGATGGGCCACCTTCCAAAGAGTAGCCTTGCATCCTTTCCTCCGCGGTCCATCCTTTTGGCCGCGCCCCGCTCGGAAAGCCTCGAAATGGGCGTCCAAGGCCCTTGCATACCTATCGCGCATCCTGCATATATGGGCTGACTGCAGGAGCAGGAGGAGGACGAGGAGGAGGGAGAGCAGGAGGAGGAGGAGGAGGAAGAGGAGGAAGGGTATGAGCAGCAGGTGGAGGAGAACCAATCATCTCTAGTACTTGTAGCTCTCGCCCCACAATCTCTGCAGTCCATGGCGGGCGCGCCCCGCCCATGGCAAAGGCACTGCCCGTGGCAAAGGTCCAACCCGTGGCAAAGCTGCTGTGGCTGAGAGGGGGTCGCCGCGGCTCGGAAGCGTCTCTGCGGCCGCCGGCAAAAGGAAGGAGTGCGACCTCGTCTCGTCGCGCCGCCGCCGCTCCCGAGATAGCATTGTTGCAGCTGGCACGAGGCTCAAGAGCGATCCTGGCTTGAGTGGGGCGCCCTCCCCCCTCCTCTTCCTCCTCCTCCTCCTCCACCTCCTCGTGCGACCTCGTCTCGTCGCGCTGCCGCCGCTCCCGAGATGCAGTCGGCCCGCGTCATAAGGATGCGCGATCAGGATGCAAGGGCCCTGGAAGGCCATCTCGAGGCTTTGCGAGCGTGGCGCGGCCAACGAGAGTGACCCGGGATGGGCCGAGGAGGCAAGGATGCAGGGGTGCCTTTAGGAAGGTTGCCCATCCTCATTGTGCGGTTTGACTGTGCTGCAGCTGGCACGAGGGCCAATAACGGTCCTGGCCTGAGAGGGGCGCCCTCCCCCCTCCTCCTCCTCCTCCTCCTCCTCCTCCTCCTCCTCCTCCTCCTCCTCCTCCTCCTCCTCCTCCTGGTCTTGAGCTATGCAGCCTGGAGCGTTCTTCGCCTGGGGGTGTCCGTGGGGCCCCGCGGCCTCCCGGCGAGGGGTGCCCGAGCTCTTTGTGCCGCGGCCGGCCTTTGTTGTGCTTCGAGCGCCCAGGGGCCGCTGTCGAGGCTCGCCCGGCAGGACGCCGCGTCGCTCTGCCGCCGCTCGGGTTCAGTCGGGCCTGTCCCTCTACAGGAGGGATATTCAAAACTAGTCAAACAATAATGCGATGTTTTGGCTATTGTGAGCATGTTTGGAGCATTTTTCTGGCCATTTTTTATTTTTCGACGAAAATCCCCCTCCTCTGTAGGGGGACACGCCCGACCTAATGCTCGGGCCGACAGCTCTGGAGAGACCCCAGGTGGTCCAGGGCACCCGGCGGGGCGCGAGGGTGCCGCGCTTCGCTGCCTTCGAAGAGGAAGAGGGCATCACAAGAATGAGCGTTCGGCGCTCCGCGCGGACTTCTTGGAGATCGTCGCTGGGCCTCCCTGGCGGCGCCAGAGGTGGGAAGGAGGAGGAGGAGGAGGAGGAGGAGGAGGAGGAGGAGGAGGATGAGGAGGAGGAGGAGGAGGAGGAGGAGGAGGAGGAGGAGGAAGTGGGGACGTGGGAAGAGGAGGACGATGAGGTGGGGCGCAGCCCTGTGGATTCAAAACGCGGACCCGACTCGCAGGATAGTCTGGAATGCACGATCGCCGTTCCGCGTGATTCATTCGGATCGGCGCCGGGCCTCCCTGGCGGCGCCTCCGATCCCGCCCCTGCCCTACCGATGTGCGAAATCCGCGCGGACCTCCGAAAGGCTATGTTCATGCAGCTGTTCGTTCCTCCGCAGTCCACGCGGAGAGTAAGGATGAACGACTTTCCAAGGCCACCCTTGCATCCTTCCCGTTTGGGCCATCCTTGGCCGCCTTCGCTGGCCGCGCCCCCC